AGGTCCGAGTCAAGCCTCTGGACCCCTCGTGTGACACGTGGTGCGAGTACCCCGTGGCAAGCCGCCCTTTTACCGTCCACACACCTCTCGTTCGTGTTCTTTTATTCGCGTACCCCCACCGCAGGTCCGAGTCAAGCCTCTGGACCCCTCGTGTGACACGTGGTGCGAGTACCCCGTGGCAAGCCGCCCTTTTACCGTCCACACACCTCTCGTTCGTGTTCTTTTATTCGCGTACCCCCACCGCAGGTCCGAGTCAAGCCTCTGGACCCCTCGTGTGACACGTGGTGCGAGTACCCCGTGGCAAGCCGCCCTTTTACCGTCCACACACCTCTCGTTCGTGTTCTTTTATTCGCGTACCCCCACCGCAGGTCCGAGTCAAGCCTCTGGACCCCTCGTGTGACACGTGGTGCGAGTACCCCGTGGCAAGCCGCCCTTTTACCGTCCACACACCTCTCGTTCGTGTTCTTTTATTCGCGTACCCCCACCGCAGGTCCGAGTCAAGCCTCTGGACCCCTCGTGTGACACGTGGTGCGAGTACCCCGTGGCAAGCCGCCCTTTTACCGTCCACACACCTCTCGTTCGTGTTCTTTTATTCGCGTACCCCCACCGCAGGTCCGAGTCAAGCCTCTGGACCCCTCGTGTGACACGTGGTGCGAGTACCCCGTGGCAAGCCGCCCTTTTACCGTCCACACACCTCTCGTTCGTGTTCTTTTATTCGCGTACCCCCACCGCAGGTCCGAGTCAAGCCTCTGGACCCCTCGTGTGACACGTGGTGCGAGTACCCCGTGGCAAGCCGCCCTTTTACCGTCCACACACCTCTCGTTCGTGTTCTTTTATTCGCGTACCCCCACCGCAGGTCCGAGTCAAGCCTCTGGACCCCTCGTGTGACACGTGGTGCGAGTACCCCGTGGCAAGCCGCCCTTTTACCGTCCACACACCTCTCGTTCGTGTTCTTTTATTCGCGTACCCCCACCGCAGGTCCGAGTCAAGCCTCTGGACCCCTCGTGTGACACGTGGTGCGAGTACCCCGTGGCAAGCCGCCCTTTTACCGTCCACACACCTCTCGTTCGTGTTCTTTTATTCGCGTACCCCCACCGCAGGTCCGAGTCAAGCCTCTGGACCCCTCGTGTGACACGTGGTGCGAGTACCCCGTGGCAAGCCGCCCTTTTACCGTCCACACACCTCTCGTTCGTGTTCTTTTATTCGCGTACCCCCACCGCAGGTCCGAGTCAAGCCTCTGGACCCCTCGTGTGACACGTGGTGCGAGTACCCCGTGGCAAGCCGCCCTTTTACCGTCCACACACCTCTCGTTCGTGTTCTTTTATTCGCGTACCCCCACCGCAGGTCCGAGTCAAGCCTCTGGACCCCTCGTGTGACACGTGGTGCGAGTACCCCGTGGCAAGCCGCCCTTTTACCGTCCACACACCTCTCGTTCGTGTTCTTTTATTCGCGTACCCCCACCGCAGGTCCGAGTCAAGCCTCTGGACCCCTCGTGTGACACGTGGTGCGAGTACCCCGTGGCAAGCCGCCCTTTTACCGTCCACACACCTCTCGTTCGTGTTCTTTTATTCGCGTACCCCCACCGCAGGTCCGAGTCAAGCCTCTGGACCCCTCGTGTGACACGTGGTGCGAGTACCCCGTGGCAAGCCGCCCTTTTACCGTCCACACACCTCTCGTTCGTGTTCTTTTATTCGCGTACCCCCACCGCAGGTCCGAGTCAAGCCTCTGGACCCCTCGTGTGACACGTGGTGCGAGTACCCCGTGGCAAGCCGCCCTTTTACCGTCCACACACCTCTCGTTCGTGTTCTTTTATTCGCGTACCCCCACCGCAGGTCCGAGTCAAGCCTCTGGACCCCTCGTGTGACACGTGGTGCGAGTACCCCGTGGCAAGCCGCCCTTTTACCGTCCACACACCTCTCGTTCGTGTTCTTTTATTCGCGTACCCCCACCGCAGGTCCGAGTCAAGCCTCTGGACCCCTCGTGTGACACGTGGTGCGAGTACCCCGTGGCAAGCCGCCCTTTTACCGTCCACACACCTCTCGTTCGTGTTCTTTTATTCGCGTACCCCCACCGCAGGTCCGAGTCAAGCCTCTGGACCCCTCGTGTGACACGTGGTGCGAGTACCCCGTGGCAAGCCGCCCTTTTACCGTCCACACACCTCTCGTTCGTGTTCTTTTATTCGCGTACCCCCACCGCAGGTCCGAGTCAAGCCTCTGGACCCCTCGTGTGACACGTGGTGCGAGTACCCCGTGGCAAGCCGCCCTTTTACCGTCCACACACCTCTCGTTCGTGTTCTTTTATTCGCGTACCCCCACCGCAGGTCCGAGTCAAGCCTCTGGACCCCTCGTGTGACACGTGGTGCGAGTACCCCGTGGCAAGCCGCCCTTTTACCGTCCACACACCTCTCGTTCGTGTTCTTTTATTCGCGTACCCCCACCGCAGGTCCGAGTCAAGCCTCTGGACCCCTCGTGTGACACGTGGTGCGAGTACCCCGTGGCAAGCCGCCCTTTTACCGTCCACACACCTCTCGTTCGTGTTCTTTTATTCGCGTACCCCCACCGCAGGTCCGAGTCAAGCCTCTGGACCCCTCGTGTGACACGTGGTGCGAGTACCCCGTGGCAAGCCGCCCTTTTACCGTCCACACACCTCTCGTTCGTGTTCTTTTATTCGCGTACCCCCACCGCAGGTCCGAGTCAAGCCTCTGGACCCCTCGTGTGACACGTGGTGCGAGTACCCCGTGGCAAGCCGCCCTTTTACCGTCCACACACCTCTCGTTCGTGTTCTTTTATTCGCGTACCCCCACCGCAGGTCCGAGTCAAGCCTCTGGACCCCTCGTGTGACACGTGGTGCGAGTACCCCGTGGCAAGCCGCCCTTTTACCGTCCACACACCTCTCGTTCGTGTTCTTTTATTCGCGTACCCCCACCGCAGGTCCGAGTCAAGCCTCTGGACCCCTCGTGTGACACGTGGTGCGAGTACCCCGTGGCAAGCCGCCCTTTTACCGTCCACACACCTCTCGTTCGTGTTCTTTTATTCGCGTACCCCCACCGCAGGTCCGAGTCAAGCCTCTGGACCCCTCGTGTGACACGTGGTGCGAGTACCCCGTGGCAAGCCGCCCTTTTACCGTCCACACACCTCTCGTTCGTGTTCTTTTATTCGCGTACCCCCACCGCAGGTCCGAGTCAAGCCTCTGGACCCCTCGTGTGACACGTGGTGCGAGTACCCCGTGGCAAGCCGCCCTTTTACCGTCCACACACCTCTCGTTCGTGTTCTTTTATTCGCGTACCCCCACCGCAGGTCCGAGTCAAGCCTCTGGACCCCTCGTGTGACACGTGGTGCGAGTACCCCGTGGCAAGCCGCCCTTTTACCGTCCACACACCTCTCGTTCGTGTTCTTTTATTCGCGTACCCCCACCGCAGGTCCGAGTCAAGCCTCTGGACCCCTCGTGTGACACGTGGTGCGAGTACCCCGTGGCAAGCCGCCCTTTTACCGTCCACACACCTCTCGTTCGTGTTCTTTTATTCGCGTACCCCCACCGCAGGTCCGAGTCAAGCCTCTGGACCCCTCGTGTGACACGTGGTGCGAGTACCCCGTGGCAAGCCGCCCTTTTACCGTCCACACACCTCTCGTTCGTGTTCTTTTATTCGCGTACCCCCACCGCAGGTCCGAGTCAAGCCTCTGGACCCCTCGTGTGACACGTGGTGCGAGTACCCCGTGGCAAGCCGCCCTTTTACCGTCCACACACCTCTCGTTCGTGTTCTTTTATTCGCGTACCCCCACCGCAGGTCCGAGTCAAGCCTCTGGACCCCTCGTGTGACACGTGGTGCGAGTACCCCGTGGCAAGCCGCCCTTTTACCGTCCACACACCTCTCGTTCGTGTTCTTTTATTCGCGTACCCCCACCGCAGGTCCGAGTCAAGCCTCTGGACCCCTCGTGTGACACGTGGTGCGAGTACCCCGTGGCAAGCCGCCCTTTTACCGTCCACACACCTCTCGTTCGTGTTCTTTTATTCGCGTACCCCCACCGCAGGTCCGAGTCAAGCCTCTGGACCCCTCGTGTGACACGTGGTGCGAGTACCCCGTGGCAAGCCGCCCTTTTACCGTCCACACACCTCTCGTTCGTGTTCTTTTATTCGCGTACCCCCACCGCAGGTCCGAGTCAAGCCTCTGGACCCCTCGTGTGACACGTGGTGCGAGTACCCCGTGGCAAGCCGCCCTTTTACCGTCCACACACCTCTCGTTCGTGTTCTTTTATTCGCGTACCCCCACCGCAGGTCCGAGTCAAGCCTCTGGACCCCTCGTGTGACACGTGGTGCGAGTACCCCGTGGCAAGCCGCCCTTTTACCGTCCACACACCTCTCGTTCGTGTTCTTTTATTCGCGTACCCCCACCGCAGGTCCGAGTCAAGCCTCTGGACCCCTCGTGTGACACGTGGTGCGAGTACCCCGTGGCAAGCCGCCCTTTTACCGTCCACACACCTCTCGTTCGTGTTCTTTTATTCGCGTACCCCCACCGCAGGTCCGAGTCAAGCCTCTGGACCCCTCGTGTGACACGTGGTGCGAGTACCCCGTGGCAAGCCGCCCTTTTACCGTCCACACACCTCTCGTTCGTGTTCTTTTATTCGCGTACCCCCACCGCAGGTCCGAGTCAAGCCTCTGGACCCCTCGTGTGACACGTGGTGCGAGTACCCCGTGGCAAGCCGTCCCTTCTGACCTTCTCTCTCCACTCCCCCCTGCTCGCCTTCCCCAGGTCCGAGTGAAGCCTCTAGATCCCTCGTGTGACACGTGGCGCCAGTACTTGGTGGCAGGCCGTCTCTTCTCATTCCGTCCTCTACCTGCGTCTTCCTCACTCCTTGCATCATCCACCTTTTACCTCCCAGGTCCGAGTGAAGCCTCTGGACCCCTCGAGTGAAGACACGTGGTGCGAGTACCCTGTGGCAAGCCGTCCCCTGCCCACTCCATCCTGAAACTGCTTCCTTCTCTTCCCTTTCTCTCCACCCCAGGTCCGAGTCAAGCCTCTTGATCCCTCGTGTGACACGTGGTGCGAGTACCCCGTGGCAAGCCGCCCCTATGCCATCCAGCAGTGGCTGGAGTCGGGGGATGTGAAGGGCGACTGGATCTTCATGATCGAGACCGACTATATCTTTGTCAAGTGAGCTTGTGACGGGGATGGCGAATCTGTAGCACTGAATTTATAATCAATTTACTATTTTCATGGTCGAGAGACGGACCTTTGCCAGCGAGCTTATTGGGGATTGCATACCAAAGAGAAGCCATTGCTTCCATGGTCCAAGGACACACCACATCTTCCACTCGTTTTACAGCTATGCAAAAACCCTAATGTTCCCCTCCCCCTTTCCCTCCCCCTCTCCCGGCTGCTCCCTCTCCCCCTCCTCCACCTTGTTTCCCAGGCCTGTGCCCATCCCTCCAGCAGGCAGGGCGCAGGGGTTCCCAGATCCGAACCTCCTGCCAATCCATAGCTTTCCTTCCCCCCCCCCAACCGCCCCCATCTCCCTGTCTTACCCTCTACTCCTCCGCTCCGCAAGCCTGTACCCATCCCCCCGGCAGGCAGGGCGCTGGGTTTTCCCTTTGACTACATCGCCCCGCAAGACCCTAACTCCTGCCAATCCATTGTTTCCCCTCCCATCCGCATCCATCTCCACCACTCTGTCTTACCCTTCACTCCTCCGTACCGCAGGCCCGTCACCATTCCCCTGGCAGGCAGGGCGCTGGGGTTCCCCTTTGACTACATCGCCTTGCAAGACCCCTGAACTCCAGCCAATCCATTGTCTCCCTTACCATCCCCACCCTTCCTCCACCCCTCCCTCCCCATATCCACCCTCCCCTCCCCCTTTCTGCAGGCCCGTCACCATCCCCCCAGCAGGCAGGGCGCTAGGGTTCCCCTTTGACTACATTGCGCCTCAAGACCCTGAACTCCGGCCCTTCATGCGCAGGCAAGCATTATAAAGACCTTTCATGACCCAAAACCTCTCCTTGCCTGTCCATTCAGCTGTCTAAAGTGCAAAACCATATTCCTCGTTTTTTCTCTGTGACGCTAGTTTACCGCGCAAATTTTGTTTTTTGGGATGCATGGAACATGTACATTTTTTATGCGTAACGCCTTACTTAACGTTTTCGTGTATGTAACGCTTCGTGCTCGCAGGTATTACCCGGAGCCGTATCGGATTGAGGATGTTCCAAGGACCGGCAATGCTCCAACCATCATGCGATATGAAGAGATGATGTGAGCTGCTGGGTGCAGTCATGTTCATATCTTCAGATTCATGTTCATGCTCATCTTAAAACTCAAATTCATATTCGTATTAGTCGCATTGATGCTGACACTCCGCTCCTCCTCCCATCCATCCCAGGCGAGTGGTACCCATAAGGGTGACTGTCACAGAAGGCAGGCAGCAAAGGCGACGTGGAAAGCAACTACTTCACAGCCGTCTCCACCTCCCGCTGTTCCCAATTCACTTCATCTTTAACCATCCCTCTCCTCACCTTCCTGCTTCGGGCGAGATGCCCATATGGGTGAACGTGACAGCAGGCATCGAAGGCAACGCAGAGAGCAGCAAACAGGTCTCTCCACCTCTCTCTACTTGCCCATCCCAGGTGTCCCCACTTCCCGCTCCCCTTTTTCCTCTCCCTGCCTGCCTACCCCAGGCGAGTGGTGCCCATATGGGTGAACGTCACAGAAGGCATCGAAGGCAACGCGGAAAGCAAGGAACGGTTCGGGTGAGTGAGTGGTTGGGTGGGTGGGGTGGGAGGCGTGGGAAAGGTTTTGGATGTGTCTTTGGTTCGGATGCAGGTCTAGGTGAGTGGAGTGGCTGGGTGGGCGGGGTGGGAGGCAGGCATGAGATAGTTTTTTCGGAAGTATCTGTGGTTCGGAAGAGGTTTGGGTGAGTGAGTGGGCAGCACAACAATCTAGCAGATGGAGAAGATGTGTCATCATCACACCCCTCCCTCTCCCTTCCCCAACCCCACCTTTCCCCTTTCCAACCATGTCAGATGGGTGCCAGAGATGTATGCCGTTTCCATTGCTGCTGCGATTGGCAGCAATCTCTTCTCTCTCCCATGCCTCCCTCCCACTCTCTCCGCTCCTTCCCCACACACCCACCCCCCTTTTCAACCATGACAGGTGGGTGCGGGAGATGTATGCCTTTTCCATCTCCGTTGCACTTGCGGGGGTGAAGATTGACCTGCCGCCCATGCCCCACGCCATCATGAGCCAGGTGATGTGCGGTGGTGTGCGGTGATATGTATTGATGTGGGATGATATGGAGTGGTGTGGAATGATGTGCGGTAGTTGAGCGGTGTTCGTTGGTGTGGGATGCGGTGATGTCGGTGGGTGGTATGCACTCAAGCACATGCCAGTCATCACAAGTCAGCCAGGGGATGAGGTGTTATGCGGTGCCCACTGCTCGCCCCTCCCCTTCCTTTCTTCTCTCTCCCGATCTCACACCCCCCTCGGCCCTCCATCACCCACACCTGTCCACCGTCCATCCTTCCCCTCCCCTCCCTTTCCCCACTCACCTCCCTTCCACCTACAGCCTCCAGCCGACAAGGTGGTGGGTGATGCTGCTCTGCTCGTGATCTCACCCTCCCCTTCTTCTACGCCCCCTCCACTTCCCTCGTCTCCTCAACCCTCCCCTCCCTATCCCCCAATCCACCTACAGCCTCCAGCCGACAAGGTGGTGGGTGATGCTGCACTGCTGCATTACACGTGGGGCAGTCAGATCAAGGTGGGTGGTGGGGTGAGTGGGTGATTTAGTAAGGCGAGGTGGGTGGGACGGTTCTGGTATGCTCATTCTTGACTCAAAAGACAAGGTGGTGGGCGATGCTGCTCTGCTGCACTACACGTGGGGCAGTCAGGTCAAGGTGAGACTGGCTAGGTGGTGGGACGAGTTATTGGGGTGATTATGTGGGGGCCGTTAGAGTAGGTGGGGTGGGATGGGTTAACTAGTTGGTTTCCGAGTCGACTCAGAAGACAAGGTGGTTGGCGATGCTGCTCTGCTGCACTACACCTGGGGCAGTCAGATCAGGGTGGGGCGGTACGATTTGAAAACGCACTTCCTCATGTTGAAGTATGGTAGCTCTTACAATGGAGGGGAAGAGGCGTTAGTCAAAGCGAGTTACAAAAGCGGCGGGAAGAGAACTTCGGCAAGCGCGTGCTGCAGCTGTGGCCCTGGTTCGGGAGAAAGTTGTGTTGGAAGAGCAGCTTCGGGCGACCTAAGAGCAGGTTCGTATTGGGACTGGGGGTGCAGGAGAATGGAGTGAGCGAGGGACTGCGGGGACAGGAAGAGAGAGATGAGAGTCTTCCTGTCTCACCAGACGCTCATCTCTCTCCTCTTGTCCCCCCAGTCCCTCACTCACTCCCTCCTTCCGAACCCTCAGTCCCAGCCCCGAAACCTGCTCCTGGGTAGCCCGAAGCTGCTCTTCCAACACAACTTTCTCCCGAACCAGGGCCACAGCTGTAGCACGCGCTTGCCGAAGCTCTCTTTCCGCCGCTTCTGTAGCCCGCTCTACCTCACACCTCTTTCCTTCCTCTGTAGAGAAGCCTTGTTGAGTATGCATAGATAAGCCTCGTTTTCCCATGCGTCCTTTCTCTCCTCGAACGTTCTTCTTCACTGGGAGTGTGAGTTGTGACAGGCGAGGTCATGTTCCTGTCTTATGTCGCACACCCATCTGTCATGTGCCCCCCAATGCCAATAATTCAGGACTGGAGTGGCAATGTCATATGGGAGTTTGACAAGCGCAAGTTCACAGACAGAGGGCTGCCCGACCCAGTACCTGAACCGCCAGAGGGAAAGGTGAGTCCCACCCGCCTGCAGTGCAGGCAAGTCTAAAAGTGAGTCTCACCCACCTGTGATGCACGCAAGTCTAAACGTGAGTCCCACGAGTCATGCAAGTTCACAGACAGAGGGTGCCGGGCCCAGTGCCGGACAGGGCAAAGTGAGAACCTGGAGGGAAAGGTGAGCTTTTGGAGGGAAAGATGAGCTTTACAGAACCTGCCATCAGTTCAGCAACAGAGGGCTGCCTGCCTGGTCACAGCCCTCACTGTGCCTGAGCCGCTCGAGGGGAAAGGTGAGTCGCTGTACAGGAGGGTGAAGCTGCAGATTGTTCTTGAGAATTCTCAAGAACAACCGAAAGCAGTCATCAGTTCAGTTCAGTGACAGAGGGCTGCCAGGGAAGTCGCAGCCCTCACTGTGCCATTATTCTTCCCCCTTTCTTACACCAGGCATCAGAGTCCCAAAAGGTGTTGGTAGCAAAGGAGAACAAAGCAATTTACCATCTGCAGTACACGCTGAAGGAGCTGCGGGAGATGGGGTGCAGCGAGGCTCATCACACAGAGTGCCCTCCCCTTCCCCTCTCCCACCAGGCTTCGGAGTCTCAGAAGGTGCTGGTATCAAAAGTCAATGAAGCCATTAAACATCTGCCCAAGTACACGCTGAGGGAGATGCGGGAGATGGGGCGCAGCGATGCTGAGGTTGACGCGTACGAGAGGGAGTGGCGGGCCAAGGGGTATGCAGAGGGGAAGAAAGGAGGGGAGGAAGGAGGAGGAGGCGAGGTGAAGCAGGAGCAGCAAGGGGGTGTGGGGCAAGGAGGGGGGTTGGGGCAAGGAGGGGGGTTGGGGCAAGGAGGGGGGTTGGGGCAAGGAGGGGGGGTGGTGAGAGGAGGGGCGGTGGCACAGCAGGAGGTGGCGAAGCCGGTGGTGGTGGTTGGGGAGGTGGAGAAGGGGAGCATTCATGCGATGGTGACGAGTAACGGCAATCCGTACATGAACTGGCAGACACTGCTCATGTTCCACACGTACAAAAAGGTGAGATGAGAAGGAACGAGAGGTGCTCATTTGAAGGCCTGTTTACCTATAAGAAGAACAGCAATCCATACATGAACTGGCAGACTCTGCTCATGTTCCACACGTACAAGAAGGTGCGATGGAAGGAGCGGGGAATGAGGGAAGGGGGGGCGGTGAAAGCAGTTGGAATGGGGCAGACGCTGGCAGACTCTGGCAGAAATGACAATGCGTACCCCCTGCAGCATTATGACAATGTGCCATAGTACATGTGTGAACTGGCAGGCACTGCTCGCGCATGTTTCACACATGCACGGTGAGAAAGAATGAGAGGCGCTGATAACTGTAAACTAGTTAAGATTCATTCGTGCGATGAGTGTTATGTCAATGCTTACATGAACTGACACGTGCTGCTCATGTTCCGTCTGTTCCCGCATGATTTTCCAGGTGGCATCTGAGGCAGACAGCAACCTGCCCTTCTTCACTCCCTCACTCCCCCTCGACCTCTCTCCCTCACCCCTCCATTACTCGCTTACTTTTCCCTGGGCAGGTGGCATCTCAGGCAGGCAGCAACCTGCGCTTCTTCACTCCCTCGCTCCTTTTCTGTCCCCTTTTCCCCTCTCTGGCGCACTTCATTCTCTCTGGGCAGGTGGCATCTGAGCCAGGCAGCAACCTGCGCTTCTTCACCCGTGTGCTGCATCGCACCAAAGACGACGAGCTCGTGCACATCATGCCCACTGTGAGTCATTGCTCTGAAGTATGTGTTGTAATTTCATAATTTGTACAACATACATAGGCTAGAATTAGATCTGTAGTACACTTATAAATTGGGGGGTTGTTTAGTGTACCCTCCAACCACATTTTGTGGTTGGTTGGGATTGGTCCCTAGCTCAACCAATCCCAACCAACACACATTTGTGGTTGCTTGGGTCACAAGCAAGCTCACCCATTGGCCAACTTATTGGCCAATAGGGTAAGCTTCCCTTTCATCTCTCTCTTGCTCATTGTTTGTACTAAAGGGCCTCTTGGCTCATTATTCAATGTATCTCTTCTAGCCTTTCAACAGTATGTGACTGCATAGTTGTGCTTCTAGTGAATCCTCGTGCTTGTAGTTGTAGGGAGTGCACCTTTAGTAACCTGCGCTTCTTCACGCGCGTGCTGCATCGCACCAAGGATGATGGGCTCATTCACCTCGTGCCCACTGTGAGTGCCCACCCACTGTGACCTTCTGAGCGCATGGTTGTGCTTGTATTGAATGCGCATCTGGCAGCCTCTTGACCCGAGTGCTACATCGCACCAAGGATGATGAGCTCATTCACCTAGTGCCCACTGTGAGTGATATGGATGTGCTTATAGTGAATGCATCTCGTGCCCGCCGTGAGTCAGTCCTTGCCTCGTGCTTGTAGTGACTGCACTTTGTGCTGTGAGGAGGCAGCAGCCTGCTTCACGCGAGCGCTGCATCGCACCAAGGATGATGGGCTCATACACCTCGTGCCCACTGTGAGTGAATCCTTGTGTTTTTAATGAATGCACCTCGTGTGATTTGTGAGTCAAAGCTTCTAGAGAATGTGCTTATTGTGAATGAATAAGTGCGGTACTTTGCCTTCTGAATGGTACTAACAGTATGTGTGTTTCTTAGCCTTATGAATGGTACTAGGGGTACGTACGCTACTTAGCCTTATGAATGGTACTAGGGGTACGTACGCTACTTAGCCTTATGAATGGTACTAGGGGTACGTACGCTACTTAGCCTTATGAATGGTACTAGGGGTACGTACGCTACTTAGCCTTATGAATGGTACTAGGGGTACGTACGCTACTTAGCCTTATGAATGGTACTAGGGGTACGTACGCTACTTAGCCTTATGAATGGTACTAGGGGTACGTACGCTACTTAGCCTTATGAATGGTACTAGGGGTACGTACGCTACTTAGCCTTATGAATGGTACTAGGGGTACGTACGCTACTTAGCCTTATGAATGGTACTAGGGGTACGTACGCTACTTAGCCTTATGAATGGTACTAGGGGTACGTACGCTACTTAGCCTTATGAATGGTACTAGGGGTACGTACGCTACTTAGCCTTATGAATGGTACTAGGGGTACGTACGCTACTTAGCCTTATGAATGGTACTAGGGGTACGTACGCTACTTAGCCTTATGAATGGTACTAGGGGTACGTACGCTACTTAGCCTTATGAATGGTACTAGGGGTACGTACGCTACTTAGCCTTATGAATGGTACTAGGGGTACGTACGCTACTTAGCCTTATGAATGGTACTAGGGGTACGTACGCTACTTAGCCTTATGAATGGTACTAGGGGTACGTACGCTACTTAGCCTTATGAATGGTACTAGGGGTACGTACGCTACTTAGCCTTATGAATGGTACTAGGGGTACGTACGCTACTTAGCCTTATGAATGGTACTAGGGGTACGTACGCTACTTAGCCTTATGAATGGTACTAGGGGTACGTACGCTACTTAGCCTTATGAATGGTACTAGGGGTACGTACGCTACTTAGCCTTATGAATGGTACTAGGGGTACGTACGCTACTTAGCCTTATGAATGGTACTAGGGGTACGTACGCTACTTAGCCTTATGAATGGTACTAGGGGTACGTACGCTACTTAGCCTTATGAATGGTACTAGGGGTACGTACGCTACTTAGCCTTATGAATGGTACTAGGGGTACGTACGCTACTTAGCCTTATGAATGGTACTAGGGGTACGTACGCTACTTAGCCTTATGAATGGTACTAGGGGTACGTACGCTACTTAGCCTTATGAATGGTATTAAGAGTATGTGCGTAACTTAGCCTTGTGAATGGTACTGAGAGTAAATGCCGTCCTCCTCTTCTTCCTTCTTCTCCTGCACTTCCCTTGCCTCCTGCCCTTCTCCCACCCGTTGTCCCCTCTCTTGCTCTGAACTCAGGTGCGAGTGCGACCTCTAGAGCCCAAGTGTGACGACTGGTACGTAGCACTCCCACCTACCCCTGCCATTTATCATCCCGTTTCTCCTCCTCGTCCCCCCACCCGTCGCCCCTTTCTTGCTCTGCCACTGAACCTCTCAGGTGCGAGTGCGACCTTTGGAACCCAAGTGCGACGACTGGTGCGTTGCGCTGAGCTCTAGCCTTGTTTTTTGGAGTTAATTTTCCTCAACCTATTTTTTGGTCAATTTCCTCAACCTGTTTTTCTGAGATTTCTCAACGTTGCGCTGAGTTCGTTTCCCTCAACTCCCCTCTTTCTCCTCTCTCTTTCGTCTCCCTCCAGTCCCTCCACTACTGATCCTCTCCTGCGCTTCCTCCTTTCCTCCTGTACACCCTCTCAAGCCCAAATCTGATAACTTCCACGCTGTGCTCTCCATTTCTCCAAGGCCCTTTTCTTTCCAATCTTTTTGTTTCTTTTGCCCCCTATCTCCTCTCCTTCCCTCCTCCCCTCACCAGGTGCGAGTACCCAGTCGCAGATCGCCCCTATGCCATCCAGCAGTGGCTGGAGTCGGGGGATGTGAAGGGAAGGGCCCCTCAAGAATGCACGTGATCACCTAACTGTACCAGGATTTGCAGCCCAACTACCATTCTTACCCCTCTTTTATCATCTCCTTCTGCCTCCTCCCCTCACCAGGTGCGAGTACCCAGTGGCTGATCGCCCCTATGCCATCCAGCAGTGGCTGGAGTCGGGGGATGTGAAGGGCGACTGGATCTTCATGATCGAAACCGATTACCTTTTTGTCAAGTGAGTGAGCTTATAACGGGGATGGAAATAATTGAAGCGCAGATATCGTATTAAGGCACTTCTCGTGATTGAGGCCGAATTCCTCGCTGTCAAGTGAGCTTATAACGGGGATGATGTCAATTTTACAGCACAGCAAAATACACCACCTTTTTGTCATTATAGAAAAATTGTACTGTTTTCCTCCCTCCCCACCCCCTTTCTCCTCCCGCCTCCTCCCTTTGCCAGTGTGAAACAAAATCCACCATCCTTTTTCAAACTCTCTGGCCTTCTTTCTCTCCTTCTACCCATCCCTCTCGTCCCACTAATCCCTTTCCTTCTCCTGATTTCTTCAACAGGCCTGTTGTCATCCCCCCAATGGGCTGCGCTGTGACTTTGACTCAACTCTTAAGTCTTATTTCGCTCCTTCATCTCATCTCACTAATCCCTCTCCTCTCCTCTCCTCCCTCTCCTCCCTACCAGGCCTGTCACCATCCCCCCAACAGGACGCGCACTGGGCTTCCCATTTGGCTACATCATCCCCACCTACCCCTCCATCCACCACATCATGATTCGGTACTGTGCGGTGCAGTGTGGTGCTGTGTGCTGTGCCGTGCTTGCTCAACATCATCCCCACCTACCCCTCCATCCATCACATGATGATTCGGTATGCTCTGCTGTGCAGTGCTGTGTGGTGCAATGCTCTGCTGTGCAGTGCTGTGTGGTGCAATGCTCTGCTGTGCGGCGCAAGGCTCTCATGTGCGGTGCAATGCAGTGCTGTGCTCTTCTGTGCTGTACCCTGCTTCACATCATCCCCGCCTACCCCCTCCATCCACTCTGCCGTGCGGTGCAATGCTCTGCTGTGTGGTGCGCTCTGCTTGCAATGCTCTGCTTGCTCCACATCATCCCAACA